AACAGGTACAGACAGGTGGGGTACTTGCTGGGTCACGAGATAACCAGTGGTGGGTCTGGGATTCGGGCTTGGGCAAGTCCTGGGTGTTTCTAAATGACCCGGCAGGTCCCAACTTGGGGACAAGGACACGTGACATCACTCAAGGATCCAGCCCATCCAGTGTGAGCCTCACACACCTTCAGTCAACACTCCGAGACCCAAATCAGAGGGGAGGCCCTGACACGGAGAGCTTCCTTGGGAGGAGATCTGGTCTCTGAACACACAGGGAGTGTGCAGCGGTGCCGAGAGTCCCAGACTGGCCTGGGGACCCCGGGCCAGGCCAGCTCAGCTGGCTCCATGCTCTTCCGGCCTGAGGCCCCTCACTCCCGAGTTCTTTCCTTCTGACACTGGATGGGTGATTTGTGACCCAACCCCCCACGTTATCTCATTAGCAGTGATGCTCGCCAGTGCGTTCAGACTTCAATGTGCGTACAAATCACTGCGCATCTGTCAAAATACAGATTCTCATTCAGTACATCAGGGGTGGGGCCTGACAGTCTGCATTCCTAACAAGCCTGCCAACTGCTTAGCAATTTTCATAAATTGGATCACCTTAAAGGAACAAGGAAAAGGCCTTTTTAAAGGAATTCTATAGTAATCCTTATGTAAAGCAACTAAAAACTCATCCTTATATTGACCCGTCACATCAATCCAGATTTTTCAATGATGAGGTTTGTCTAAGGTGGCAGCAGGGTAGAGTGGGAAGGACCCAGGGCTGGAGCCAGAATGACACAGGTTCAAATCCCTGCTCTGCCCTTAGAGCCATGGACTGTGGAAGTCCCTTCACAGTTCTGAGCGCTACTGTACCCCTCTCTACAATGGGACAATGACTTCGTGCATGTAAGCTGCTGGCACAGTGCCTGGTGACCGCCCATGTCCTGCTGTGGATCACAAGTGCCCCTGCCTGGCCCCTTTCTAAATGTACCCCGAGATCTCACCCGGTGAGGCGGGCGTCGCCTCCGACTCCTTGGAGACGAGGGGCTGAGCCAGGCCTCTGAGCGGCCTGGCAGGTCTCTGTCAATTCCCACCTGCCTCCCTGCAGTGCCAGGAGGCACTGGGAGGCTGTGCTGGTGACTAATCAGGCAAGTGTCCCCGCTGCTTCAATCAGGGCCCGCGGCGGGAGGGATGTGTCACCACTGCACCAGCGCCGGCTCGCTGAGTGTCCGGGGAGGAGCCCCCTCCGGACGGTCACCTGGCGGCCCTGCGTGCGCATCCGTGTGTTTACTGTAAAGGAGCCATGTCTGCGCTGTGCTCTGACTGTGCCAGGTCGGAGGACGGGGCTGAGTCTCATCGGTCAGGCCCTGAGCTCCGGTGGCAGCCTGCTGCCCCCGTGCCCCTTGCTCACCTGCCTCCGGGGGGTGGGGGAGATGCCTGTGGCCGACAGGGACCCCTTAGAAGCTCGGCCCTTCTTCCCAGCTGGGAATCCGGCCCCGAGCGAGCCTGTGTCCTTGGCCCTTCCCTTAGAAGAACTTGGAACCACCCAAGCCACAGCACGGCTGCCTGGGAGGGGTGGTCAGTGGCCTTGGAAGGCTGTAGCCCGGTGAGATGACCCTTCAGGTCTCTTTCAGCCTGGAGAATGGGGAACAGCCTACTGGGTACCAACGTGAGCTCTGGACCTTAGCTTTCGGGCTTGAAATCTGCTGCTGCCACTCGCTGGCCATGTGGCTCTGAGCAAGCTGCTTAACTTCTGTCTCTGCCTCACCTTGCTGATCAGTTAAATGGGGATGATAATTAGTACCTACATCAGACGTGGGTGATAGTCAAATGACGTACAAAAAGCAAACACTCAGCAAAGCACGGAGCGAGCTCTCAAAACTACTGGCTATTCGTAGGCTCTCGTGTGGGAGCACCAGGTGGGGCTCTCTGCCCATCCCCCTGCCACCACCGCCACGGAGGAGGCGGCCTCCTTCAGGCCAGGCCTCTACGCTGGCAGTGGGGGTGTGTCAGCTCCTGCGGTCCCGGCTTCCCCGCTCCTCTGCAGCCAGAAGCATTCGTGCCTGGCTGTCCTGGACGTCAGGGGAGGGCCCTCATTTTAACAAATGTCCAGGAGATTCACCAACCAAATTAGATGGGCCATGGCTTTGGGAATGACAATGTGCCTCACTGTCACGTGGTCCCTCCCCCAATCCTTTATTCGTCACACAATTATTTATACAGGACCTACTGAGTGCCAGGCACACGAGGACTGGGTTAAGAACCAGAAGAGCTGGATTCAGAGTCCTCTCTCATCATCAGTGAGACCTCTCCTCTCTGTGAATATGAGAAAATGGTAGCTCCAGGGACTCTGTGGGAACGGAGTGTGTGGGGGGGTCCCCGCAGCTCTCCGTTCCTGCCCAATTCACAGAGAGACTGTGGGGCTTCTGGGAGAGCTGTCTTTACAGTTTCGAACCACAGTCCAGTTTACACAACACTCCTACGTGCATTCTCACAACCGCCCCTGTTTCTGCTTGGCAGTCTCTGAGTTCTCAGTCTTTCCGATCTCTCATTTGAATTCTGTCCATAGCACAGTTTAAATTCATTTCCTTTTCTTTGGGCCTCAGAAGTAGAAACTAGTATCACAGAATCCAAAGCAATTCAAGGTTCGGGCTTCCCTACCGATGCGCTTCACATTCCACCCTTCGGAGGAGGAGAGCTTGCCGGAGAAGTCCTTTCATCGATCGCGATGTGGACCATGGCAAGAGCTAACGTATATCAATCCTGACCCTGTGCTCTTGCTGTCTCCTCCAGGCCCCAGCCACCCCACGAGGCGGTCATCACAGGCCCTGTGACCAGCAGTGACCCACTGCTTCTCTCTCCCAGCACCTCTAAGTTCCCCTTTAGGGCCTGTACCTGGTGGGGGTGGGCTAGGCACCTGTAGTGACACCTCCATGGGCTTCTGTGTTCCCGACCACTGCACCCCCAACCCATTCCTCTTGCCTACTTCCATTTCGACTTCTTCTCTTAAAGAACAACTACCAGCCCCAGATTCGAAAGAAAACAGAAACCTCACACTTTGCACACAGTTACCTGCCATAGTCGGCCTCCACCTGAGTGGAAAAGAAGGTGACAAGTGTGAAAGATTGGGGACAATGGTTGCAAACCTCTCTGGCTTCAGGCCAGCCCACCGGTTACCTTTCTGGGGCTGGAACTCTTACCTTCTGATTGTCCCCTACGTCATCTGAGGATTCGCCTCCCCACCTCCAAGCTCAAACAATCGTCTGTACAGTTCACCTGGCAGCCAATACCTCAAGGCCTGTGCTCCTTCACTATCTGGGTGGCCCTGGGGCATATCCCCTGGGCCTCTGTTTCCCCACAGGAAACCCACAGGAAACAGCCCTTTCCCACTTTGTGTCTCAGGCTAGTTGCCAAGCCAGTCAACGGTGAAGGGCCGCACATATGCATTTGTGGCAGCGCAGCGAGGCCTCTTGCCAGTCTACACCGGGCTTTCCCGATGAACCATTACGTTAAGTCCTGCCAGGACAGGCGTGGAGGCTGCCAGCGCCCTGGGCTGCCCCCTCCACTCCCCGCTGCCCAGGCAGCCCTCAGTGGAGTCCGTCAATAGCTGGCCTGGCTAGGAGAGACAAGGTCTCCGGGCACTGGAAGCAGGTTTCCCTTTAAGCCTCCTGTCTCTCTAGACCTGGGTTATTCCTACACACTTATCTCCCCTGTACCATTTTAATGCCTGAGCTGACGCCTCCATACCACAGAACGCAAAGAAATAGTATTTTCGTTTCAGATGCAGATAATGGCTAGGAACAATACGAACAATATTATTATTGTAGTGCCCTGGGAAAAAATTAGCAAGTCAAATATTGAATCAGGCCTGTAGCACCACAGGCTAAGCAGATTGCTTTGATCTTATCCATGCTAAAAGCTCTATTATTTAATTTAAAGTCAGTGAACACATATCAGGCCAATATACAACGTGTATCTGAATGCATGTTTCAGAAGCAAAGGAATGTTTTGACTAAAGGAAGAAAATATCAAAGTTACAGCTGCAAGTGAACACAAATTTGCCCTCCCTCTTCTCTTGGGGCTGGAGGTGCTGCTGGCCAACCAAAATGTTTTGGCTCTCAAGGACCTGCTTATGGCTCCAGAAACACCTGCTGAGCTCCCATTTTTTCTGCAACCAACAAGGAAGGGGTTTCTCACCCACCTACTAAATTTGAAGAAGGGAGTTTGAGACCTCAAGTCGGCATGCATGAGCTGCACATGGTATGGCGCCCTCTGGTGGCCATTCCTCTGGTGGCCATTCCTCTGGTAGGCCTGCTGCCCCCGCCCCACCCCAAACTTCAATGATCCAACCCCCTCCCTGTTGAGGGTGCCCTGCCCGGAAAAGGGACTTTAAAGGGCCAAAAGGAGGCCAAAGCGGCTAAGCATGAGGGTAAAACCATCTAGCTGATAGGAAGGGAAGAACGTTAATTACCCAGCAGGGCCCAAAGAGAGACTCTTATACATGAAGATAAAACTTCATATATAAGATAGACCCCCTCAAAAGCCAATCTAAACAGCAAATGCATACCCTAAGCCAGGGGTCAGCAAATTACAACCTGCAGGTCAAACTGCCCCCCGCTGCCCCTTTTGTAGAGCCCAAGAGTTAGGAATGATTTTTTACATTTTTAAATGGCAATCAATCAATAAAAATTTGTGACATGTGAAAATTACATGAGATTTCAGTTTCAGTGTCCCTAAACAAAGCTTTATTGAAACACAGCCCTGCTTCTTCATGTATATATTGTGTGTGGAAGTTTGGTAGCTGGACAGTCAGTTGCATGGCCGGCAAAGCTGAAAATATATCCTATTTGGCCCTTTACAGAAAAAGCTTGTCAACTCCCGCCATTCACAGAGCTGAACTGTTAGTCTGGTCCCTACGCCCACCCTGCCCACCTTCTAGCAGGACCAAGCTGCAGCAGTCTGCAGGACAAAGGGTGTATATGGGGGAAGGGAGGCATCACATTTCAGCGCAACCCCTACCAACTTACCATTTTATTATTGATTTCATGGAAATGAATCTCACAGACTTTCTCCACAACGTCTTCATTCTCAAAAGTGACAAAGCCAAACCCTAAAGGAAAAAGGAGGGGGAAAAAGAGAGGAGAGGTGAGTTCAGTTCCCTTTGGCCCGCACGGTCTTTCTTTGATGTCCTGTGGTGGTGACAGGTTCCTGGGAGGAGGGCAGATGGATCCCTGGGAAGGGCCTCCAGCTTGAGGAAACGATTTCTAATTTGTACAGAGCACCCTTCCAACAGTGAGGAAAAGTTAACGATTTCGTCCCCCAGGCGGCGGGCACATGTGGCTTACATTTGCCCGGAAGCAAACAAGAAATTTACTTGTCTGTTATTTACAAGGGTCAGAGCCTGCGGCTCATGGCAGGAGGCAGGCGGGTGGGGGACGACCATGGCGGATCACCGCGGGGCCACACTTGCCCCTTCCGTGATTGAATGGCCAGCCCTTGGGTCGGCCTCCAGACGGAGGCGGTTATTTGTCCTTTTCTTCCTGAATTACTTCCTCTAATACCTCATCAGGACATCCTGAGGCCTGGAAGAAACTATTAAAAGTTTCAGGCCTCTGTTCTGCGTAGGCATCCTTTTTCTACTGCTGCTTCAAAAGCGCTGCGGATTTGGGGCAGTTTAAGACTGTTTGATGCCTGCTGTCAGCCTGTCAGCTATGCACTGTATTTACTCGGCTGGAGACAGGCTTTGCTAGACAAGCTGCACTGAAGAATTTTGGCAGGCGCCCGCTGCTCAGCATCCTGAGTGCCTCTCGCTACCCTCCTGCCCCTCGCTTTCTTCTCCTCCCGCCCCCGACTGGGTTCCAGCACGCTGCCCCATCTGTGACCCCACTCGGTAAGCACCGCTTTGACACACAGACCCACTCACAGGATGGCACCCTGCCTCGGATGAAACAGGATGAAACGCAGCTGCAGTGAACACATGCAGGAGCACAGACACCCTGAGGGGGAGGCAGCAGACCTGGGCTCCAGTTCTGACTTTGCATCGAACTTATGTGTCATCCTGGGAAGCCCCTTCCCCCCTGAGCCTCAAGGTTTGAGACTGGACTCTGGGTCCCCCCCCCTCAGGTCACAACCCAAATCTCTGCTATGGACTGAATGTTTGTGTTCCCTCAAATTCATGTATTGAAATCCTACGCTAACGTGATGGTGTTAGGAGGTGGGCCTTTGGGGGGACATTTAGGTCATGAGGGTGGAGGCCTCATGAATGGGATTAGTGCCCTTATACAAGACATGAGAGAGCCTGCTTTCTCTGCCCTCTGCCATTGGAGGATACAGTAAGACAGCAGTTTGTAAACCAGGAAGAGGGCCTTCACCAAAAACCTGACCATGCTGGCACCCTGACCTTGGACTTTAAGCCTCCAGAACTGTAAGAAATGAACTTCTGTTGTTTGTAAGCCCCCCAGTCTATGGTACTTTGTAATAGCAGCTCCACTGACCAAGATACTATCTTCCGCAAAGATAGGAGCCTGACCGAACGCAAGTCTGGGCACACCAACCAGGAACACGAAAATCAGAACGGCTCTTTTTGTATTATGATAATTAGTGCCTCCTGTCAGTGAAAACAAATACAGATGCTCCCTTTTTAAGCTTTTGTGTCTATTCTGGGCCCCAGAAATCCCAGGTGGGGAGAGAATCTCTCAAGACCCTCTTTTCTCCAACCTCCCATTCTACCGCCCCCACCTTCTAAGGAACAGCAGGGAATAGGGAGCTGAGGGCTCTGCAAACCTATATTACAGCTCCTGCAGGAGCTAGAAGATTCCTCGGGAAAGGAATGGAAAAGGCCACTCCCTGCTCTCAAACAATTTCCAGTAAAACAGAGGGCTAGGATGACCACAGAATCGGCAATCACGATCCTTACGATGATGTGTAATTTATTACCACACACCAAATACCAGGTTGGTATTCCCAGCCTACACAGCCCATGCCCAGCCCACTACAGACACGTAAGGCTGGAGGTCAGACCCGTCGTGAGGGGCACACACAAGCGTTCGCTGCACAGGGTCAAAGTTGGCAAGTTTCTCCCAGTTTGGTCCTGGACAAGCTGGGTCTCTGGACACAATGATATTGTTTAAAATGAGGCCCAACAGGAAACCTTTCACTAGGTTTGTATACACTCTCTAAACCAGGTCCCTGCAGAGAGAGCTACAACGCCGACCTGCTCTTTGGCCCTTGGTCCCGTGTGTTATTGCAGAATGGGACGAGACCACACCCAGAGGCAAGTCTCCGAATGATTTCTCTTTGGGCTTTGCTGTGTTGGCTCCCGAAGCCCCCCTTCAAAGGGGCCTGAAAACCATCAGTTAAACTCTCACCCAGGCTGGAACCCTTGCAGCACACGGAAGGGGACTGGCATTGTTTGGGTTAATCCCCTTTCTGGCCACCCTTCTAGAGCCCAGATCCTAGTAGAAGGGATTGAGATGCAATGCCTTCAAAAGGTCCTCCCTCCAAAGGGAAGGTGAGGTGGCCCAGCACAGGATGCAGGAATCTGCTGGCACTGGCTTCAAGGACAATGGCTGGGCTGGGGCCTCGTTCTCTCTGGGTCCCCAGGAGGCACAGAGCCCCTAACACACAGCAGCTGGTGGCTGAGAATGACAGGACGAGCCATTTCTGCTTCTCTAGGGCCTGAGCATCTTGCTAATCTGTGTCACTGCCTCCCCCTCAAGACTGATTCAGCCCTTCTCTGGGCATAAACCGGCTCCCACCCGTGCCAGACATCGTGGAGGACCCCGAGATCAACAAGGCAACATCCCTCTTCTCAAGCAATTCGCTCTCTAAAAGGCACAGGTCAGAGGTTCCCACTCAAGAGGAGCATCTCTCCTGTGCAGACCTCACCCCTCCCTCTCGACCCTCACGTCTAGCCTCTGGGTAAATCTGGGTCTCCTTTGTGTCTGAAGTTGCCCCTCTGGCCTGAACTCAGACTGAGGCAACATGCAAACCCCTAAACGAGCCAGGAAGGGCCAGTTCTTAGGTAGGGAGAGAACCCCACTGCTAATTAGGGTGAATGCAACAGGCTGAACAGTGGCCCCCAAAAGGTGTGTCCATGGCCTAACCACTGGAACCTATGAATGTGACGTTATCGGGAAAAAATGTTTTTGCAAACATAGTTAAGTTCAGAATCTCAAGAAGAGATCGTTGTGGATTTAGGGCGGGCCTGCCACCCAATGGCAGGTGTTCTTAAAAGAGAGAGGAGAGGTAGAAGTGAGACATAGAGGGGAGACATCCATGTGAAGACAGAGGCAGAGGTTGGAGTGACATAGCCACAAGCCAAGGAATGCCGGGAGCCCCCAGGAGCTGCAAGAGGAACGGCTGTCCCCTAGAACCTGCAGAGGGAGCCCGGCCCTGCTGACAGCTTGATTTCAGACTTCTGGTCTCCAGAACTGTGAGAGAATACATTTCTGTTGCATTAAGCCACTCAGTCGGTGGTAATTTGTTATGGCAGCCACTGCAAACGAAGACAGCAAGGTTGCAGGTTACGGCTGCCTCCACACAGGTGGGCAGGTCCCACAAGATCGCTCCATCCAGACCAAGCACGCGCTTTGGATGGAAGGCAGGAGAGTGTGGACGAATGAGGCAAACCCATCCGTGCCACCAGGAAACAGCATGAGTCAGTTCCAGTCAAGGGCACCCCTCCAGGAGCCGGAGGACAGTGGTTGAATGTCACCTAGCCGCTGAGCACGTACTTGACCTGCAATAGCACCCAGGTAAGTCTAGTTACCTGGAGGCCACGGGTTGAGTTCCCCCGCCAAGGAAGCTGTTTTCCTGCTGTAGCCCACTCCTCCCTGGTCCACCGTGCAATAACTATCTGAACTCCAGGCCCAACACCACTCAGGACTCACTGTGGCCCCAATTTCCCATTCCCTGCCACTGCTCAGAGATGGGAAGAGATGTGGAAGAGCTGGCAGACGGGAATTAAAATGCAGACTGTTGCGCTGGGAAGGGAGGGGGCAGGACTCGCGGCGGTCACTTCAGATCCAGACTCCCTGCTGGTCCCTTCCCTAATCCCACAGAACTCAAAATTCGAGTATCACAAAAATGATTTTTCTGATCAAAGGAGAGAGCCTGGATTTGAAGCCTATGTACCACGGATGCAGCACAGTTCAGCGATGTCAAGACTCATTTGCAGTATTTTAAAGATCTATATCGTTTCAACAGCCCTGTCTGTTTAGCCCAAATAGAGAAAACGAACTTGATTATGTCTAAAATATTTGTTCATTCCACTTGGAGAAAGCAAAGAAGCAATGAAACACTTAACTATCAATAAATGTTATTCCTGAACGTATAACCAGATGAATTATCATTTACAATGAATTAGCAACTCAGTGGCGAACAACCCCCCCCCCCCGCCCCCGCCAAAATCAATTAAACTGAGGAGTGAAGGGCAGCACAAGGAAGTCAGAAATCTGGGAGGGATGCGGTAGAGGGCGGGAAAAACCCTTTTTCGGCATCAAAGTCTTTTTCATTTTTGAAATGAATTTTTTATTGGGTAAAATATACGTAACATAAAACTTACCACTTTAACCATTTTTAAGTGTACAGGTCAGCGGTATGAAGTACATTCATGATGTTTTGCAACCGTCGCCACTACCCACCTCCAGAACTTTTCACCATCCCAGACTCGAACTCTGTACCCTGTTAGCAGTAACTCTCCCTTCCTCCCTCTCTCAGCCCCCAGTAACTATTCCACCTTCCGTCTCTATGAATCCGCCTATTCTAGGTACTTTGAGTACTTGGAATCATACAGTCTGTCTTTCTGTGTCTGGTTTATTTCACTATGCATAATGTTTTCAAGGCATCAGTCTTTTGAACGATCTGCCGAATGTACAGATCCTACATGAGGCTCAGGGAGATCGAGTATTCCTGAGAAGGAGCGGGAAGGACTGATTTATTTCCCTCTCATTTTTTTTCCAAGAGAGCCTCGCAGAGAATCAGAAATGGAGCCTCACGAAAGCCCATCAAGAAGAAGCACGGCAGCAGGTGGAAGAAACACACACTTACGCTCGCTCAAAAGCGAGGACCAGGTAATGAGCTGTGCGCCTCAGGAGCGCCCCTTCACCT